TCAAATGCAAAATTTGATTGATGTTGATATGCGATATTAACTCTGCTGTTATGCTAGATTTACCAATGTTTTATTTTATCTTTTTATTTTACCCGATTACTCAATTAATTGTAAGAATAATCAATAGATTACTCGACTACTAAAATATTCGTTTACAACAACCCTACTTGCTATCTATTAAAAACCAATCAGTCTCATAACCTTGAAATAATTTGATTTAGCTTAATCTTCCTACACGAGATTGTCATTGCAAAAAAGACTGTAAATTCCTTCATGTGCAGATAATTTTTACATAGAAAAGTGTTGCAGCAAAAACTTAACGGTGGTATTTATCATATTGAGCGTGCAGCCGCTCTGCTCAAGTGATGAAATTATTGTGAAAATCTCACGCTGCACAGAAGACTGCAGTTCTGAAAAATCAGTCTAATGAGATGAAAATGTGTCTCACACTGCAACACGCCTCGCACTTCTGCTGCACTTCGTGAAAAGTGCTTCAATCTCATTTGATTAGATGATTTCTATTTAAATTCACAGCAAAGGAATTCTGTAACTGAGTCCAATTAATTCAAAGTGAAATTACTCCCTTCGCACGCGGCGTCGTGTTCGTCCTCTGCAAGTGTGGAAAGACAGCCAGGTTTGTTGTTGTTTACAAACCAAACTCTCGTCCTTGCGACGTGACCTCCAAACCGTGGGTGAGCCAAGCGTGAGAGCGAGTGTGTGTACGTGTCCAGCTTGTGTGCCGGGGGCCGGAGAGTCAGGGGATTCACAGTCTGTGCAAAAGCAAAAAGGCTTTTAACATTGATTATATCACCCAAGCGGTCTGGGCTGGCTGCGAGGTCTAGCATGTGTGGGTATGTGGTTTGATAGCAAGAACGATGGATTGACGGATGATGCGATGGCTGGCTGAGCCCAATTACATAATACACTGGAAATGTGATTAGTTATCAACTTTAAGTGAAGCGGAACAAAACTTCAAAGCCTTTTTTCAATGATAGGATCCATAAGAAGGATATAAATTATTTATCTAAAAAAAGTGGGAAAGCTTTTAGGGAAAACACACATTTCCATTATTGCTGAGAGAAAACAGCTACCCACGTTGAACTTTGAGCATACTTTTTTTAACACAATTAAAACAATTAGAAATTCCAACAGAGGGTTAGTCCCAAAACACAACGTCTGCGTCCAAATTTTCAACGCACCAACGGACATAGTGAGTATTCACGTGAGAGTATGCACCAGAAATCCCAGTAATGTAAACACAAAGTGGTCTGTCAGTAAGCAGAAAGCTGAGCAAGACCATTGTTTCCCTCTTCCATTTTTTTCTGCATTTCTGTGTTCCAACCATTAGTAAGTACCCTACTTTTTTTTTCTATTTGCAATATTTTACCCCAAAGCGGATGTGTTTTACTTTGTCACTTCCTGTCTCAATTATGACCTTCCCATCAAATTCCTGAATAGCTCCAGACAAAATACACCCCAGGTCCTTAAGATAGCAACCGAGCATGGATGACAAAAATTGATCTGAGTTTTGTGCCTATGGTAAGGCACAGACCCAGCCTGGATTGCGTAGGTTTGCTACGTCAGAACTAATTCTAATGTGTTTCCATCTCCCCCAAGTGCATTAACTCTTTATCAGAGAAACTAAAACCTCCTCAAGTGAGTGTAAAACTTTTTCAACTGCTTTTGCTCTCCATTTGTTGAAATTTTTAAGCACAGTAAGCTGTTGAGGTCAGATACAAGGATTGGGGGAAAAAATGCATTAAAAAGTAGCAAGAATCCAATGAAAACTAATAATAAAATACCTTCAGGAGACTTATTCAGCAACTGACCAAGAATATGTAAAAAAATATATATATGAGTGGTTTAAAACCTTTGCACTGTACTTTACATACTGCACTAATTGTAGAATATCTAAGTCCTATCTGGAAACATCTACCATCAATGTGATGTTATACTATGTTCTTTCTACTGCTATTAACCATGGAAGAGTTGTGTTGTGTTAATACAACATTAAAGTAAAAAAAAAAAAAAAAAAAGTCAATGTGTTATATTTGTGGAAATGGAAAATGCATTTCCATTGCCCAGGGGGTCAGTGACAGTGAGTGCAATATTGAACTGTGTGATCAATGTGGCCCTGGGTCACCAATCACACACAACTGCTGGTGTGTGAAGCGTTACCTCCTCTCTGTTTATGGTTGTAAAATTGAAGAGAAAACTGCCATTTTCTCAATATCATTTGTGCGTATGAAAGCACAGACGACGAGATCGTCGGGCGTCCTTTGATTAGCATCTAAGGTTTCCAAGGAAACAGAAAGCTGTGCCCTCTTTTCGTGCCACCAGCTTACTCTGTAAGCAGTTTGTCTGCCAATAAGCGTGCATCATGGTTTACACAGATGACCTTCTCTGGTCTCTATTCGGACCACTGACGAGCTCGGTGTGACCTGCGCTCAATAAAAAAAAAAAAGAAAAGAAAAAAAGACCTGACATCAACAAAGATGCGCAAGGTCACTGTGGCAGGGTGTGTAATCTTTCTTGTCTATCTCAGTGAGATAGCAATCAACTGAAGAGCGACTGAACAGCCTGAGCCACAGCAATAATGCTGCACACACAACATGGCTGTGAGCTGGTGGATATTTAAAATAAACAGCAAGTCAAATAACATTTTTTTTTTTGTCTTTCTATCTTTAAAACATGCATTTAGTTTCACCTGCAGTTCTGGCCAAAAGTTAACCTATAGTCAGGATGGACAAGCTGACTGTTAATTTGGAGCTTTTATTGATTTGTTTTAATCTTTCTTTTCCTAGCATGCAATGATTATACAACTTCAGCGATTTTTAGAAAACCAATAAGTGGGTGCAGAAGTTTGAATTTGTTGTGAAAGTTCTCCACATGCGGTTGGTTTTAGGCTGTTGCTACTATATTTAACCACAGCAATAAGGTGTTGTTTTCTCAACTGGGAGCAGCTGACCAGCATCTAAAAGTTCAAATACCACATGAACTATGTATTATTCTGGATCGCCGTCCAGAATGACCCCAAATCCCAGAGGAGCTGAACGGGATGCCTCGTGGACGAGGAGCAGAACAAAAGAGACAGAGGGAAGAAGTTCAATCCACCTCTTTCATCGATTGTAACGGGCAAACGATCTTATCCCCAACTCCAGCATATCTCTGTCCAACGGCCAGAAAGAAGAGCAGCAAAAACAAATGAGGTGGATTAGCAGTGTTTGCCAATACCTGACGATGTCATCCAGGACACGTTGCTGTAAAATATCGCTCAGGTATCGAGCTTCCAGGAGGACAAAGACTGTCATGAAACTGCCACACAGCTCCAGTATTTAGTAGGAGCCCTTTGGTTTTGCATCGCCATCCAGAATGACTCTCAAGATACTCAGACAATAATATTTAATTTCAATATTTAATTTCTGTTTGGGGTAAAAAGAAAAAAAAAATATTTTGGAATTTAATAGAATTTTTGGATAAAGATTGAGATGTTTGGACAGAATAATATGAAATATGTTAGTCAGTGTCATAGTAGGAATTTCTAACCAATGAACACTGTACCATTTGTCAAGCACGGATGTGACGGCGTCATTCTGTGGCCCTCCTTTGCTGCAGTCATCCTGGGGAGATCAGATCGCACTAAGTCGATGGGATAATGTAGCAGAACTATCTCAGCAGCTTTTAGCTGTTTTCTGCATGTGTTATCCTGTGTGTATGAGCTCGAACCTGCAGAGATTAGAGAAAATCCACCCTGTTCTTGTGCGTGAACTTAATTGCGTTTGTTGGCTGCATAATAAATGTATAACTTAAAAGCCACAAATTAAGTGACGTTATAAAAATTTAGCAATCTTGAAAAGAAAAATTAAATAACCCCCCCTCCCCCCAAACATTACTATGCCACAATATGACGTCCTGTTATCCTTTCATGTCTGTCCAGCATACATGAAACACCCCACCCAAACTCCACCCAAATCAATTTATTCCATTTCCAGCTTACCTTTACTATTAGGTACAATCCGCATCATCAAATGTGACCTTAATGCCTGTAATGAGCACATGTCAAACCTGTGTGATAAATCTTATCGAAGAGCTTTAAAGCAAATTCAGGAATGCCGCCTGAATCCTGAGTGGGGTTCTTAAGAGACTCGTCTCAGACGGTTGAACGAGCTCCACACCTCCCCTCTCAGTCCCGATATCTCTTTGCCATTCAATATTTAATGGCGTTCCTGAGTGATTTTGTTTGTAGCTGCATATGGATGGAAGAACTTCATATCGAGCCCGAAACAAACTGTCCCAGTCCATTACTACGCTTTTTGTTTTTTTTTCCCCTCCAAGTAGACCTCAAGTGTGTCACAACACTAAAATACATTTGAATTCAGAGGAGCACAAGACAAACAGATGGGCAAAGAATTTGACGCCAAGTAAACGCAGAATCCGCCGGTGAATGTGAGTCAATAACAGTTTAATTTAAAAAAAAAAAAAAGAAACTTGGGGAATAAAAAATTAGATTTCTCTGTTGAGCTCTTATTGATTTTAAGTTCTGATGTCAAGGATTCAAGAAAAATTGCACGTGTTCATAAGCTAATGGCAAGATACAGAAACCGACACACCATCTTCTTCATACTGGAGTTCCACACAGAAAACATTGACGAAAAGCTGAAGCATTCGCGAATTTAAAAGAGGAGAGAGAGGATCGGGAACGATGGGGGGGCAAAAAGGGGGTTGAAAAAAAACAATGCAGAAATGATCACAGAGGGGGTTTCCAAGCAGAAAGCATCCACAGAAGAGAATGGCATATTTAAGGGAGAGAGCTGACATACACCACAGAGGCGTTAAGGACATGTATACATAAGAGAGCACGTCGGATAAAAGCTGCTTCCCAGATGTTGGAATGAGAACAAACATATCTGCTGTTGGCGTATACAAGGGGTGGGAAGAGAGGAGGAGGACGACGAGGAAGAGGACGGGGAAGGGACACAGAAATTAGAGGAGTAACTCACCAGAGTCAGCAAATTCTGAGGGGACAGTAAAAGAAAGAGAAATAAGAAGAAAACAGAAACAGAGACATGATAAATCCAGGTGATCTTCAGTGAGAAAGCGAGAACTGAACAATTATCGGGCAATATTTCAAGATGGGAAATATTGTAAAAAGGGTCAACAAACCTTTTTTTTTACGTTTGTAGTTCAATGAAATGATGCAAACTTAGAGAAATAATTCTTACATCTGGGCACAGAAAGTTACATTAGAAATAAGGAACCACTCTTTCTGATGTCTTACGAAATATGTCAAGGTGCATCTCCATAAACTATATTATTATTATTATAAAGGTGAACTTGTCAAAGCGATTCAGCTCAAAAAGTGAAACGCCTACCCTGTACACACTTATTACACACTGCGTGACATATTTTCAGTGTCTCTGATGTTAATTGTCATTACTTATATTTACGACAAACCAACATTTAGTGTCTCAGAAAATAAGAATATGACAATATGATCAGTATCAAAATAAGCTAATCTTCAGAGGGAAGGCTGCAGCTATCCTGTTACTTTAAATTCTTATTTGGACCACACTTTTTACTTCCACTTAAACTTTCCAACCTGTAACCTGTTGTTACTCGTGTGGTGAGACGTTCTACTGGCCGGGTCATAGCTGTAAAACTGAGTTCATGTAAACTATAATCACCAAAGTTATTTGAAATAAATACTTGAAACATGGAAGAAAATGTATAGTTTGTGTTTCACTTGCTGAATTGAATTCCTGAAACTAATTAACCTTTCAGTGATCTTAAAAAAAAGAAAAAAAAAAGTGATATCCCTTGTATGCTGAATTGCAGTGCGAAGTGTCCTGATTCCTTTTTTTTCTATGTTGAACATTCGCAAAAACACGCACAAAAATTCAAACTTTGGGTGAAATTACAAGTAATTAAATGTCTTAAAAACACAGACCCACACACACACACACACACACTTTTGCCATCTATCCCAAACATGCCTTCACTTACATAAGAAACTGAACTGTTACTTCAGCTGTTTCAACCATGTTTTTTACTATTGGTTCATTTAAATGCTGTGCTTACGTTTCAAATTATGATTTGGTGCTGTTCAGTAAAATAGCAGCACTGCTTGACGTACTAGATGCAGCTATTGAGCCTATGTGATAATGAATATGTTTTATTTCTAGAGCAATCGTTTCATTTCCAAGGACCTGAATGTACGGATGTATGTATAAAATACTTAAAGCATAAAATGGGATTATTATTCAGATAATTTAACAAATAATAAAAGTAAATTTCAAGACATTAAGAACAATAAAACCGATGTGTGCGATGCCTGTTCGTAAACTGGCAGCAACAAATCGGAGAAACTCTGAGTCCCTTTAAGCTGATCTCCATCAGCTTTCTCAAGCTCTGTTTGAGCTTTTCTTTAAAGCATTTTCACTCGTTTTCTAACCAGTCTTTATACTTGGCTGACACAATGTGCTGTGTGGTATGTGCTAAAAAAAATTTAAAGACAAAAGTGAACATAAACAAAATTTCTGATATTATCAGGTACCAAACATAAAACAAGTGAAAAAGCAGCCAAGGAAAAACTTTTTTTTAAAAAAAAAAAAAAAAATACTAGAAATCTTTAAAATATGCTGTACAAAGCCATTTTACGAGGACCCAAAAAAGTCTGGTTTGTTATATATAATATGAATATGAATAAAGGAGGGACTCGAGACATTTGCACAGTATTTGCACGTTGCATTAAATGTGTGGCTTTGATTCCTCTAACAAAGAAAAAAAATATCCCAGATACTTGCTGGCCACATAACTTCGGCTCCAGAGCCCAGATCCACTGGTGTCAGCAGAAGGTAAAGGGCTGAGAAACAACAAACCTGAGTGGTAAAATCACGAAAGACAAAACTGCACACGCTCACACACACACACACACACACACACACACACACATATGCATGCAACACAATTACGCCAACTAACCCCTCTCTAAAAGTCTAACAAGAGGAAAAGCATTTCCGAGAACTGGAGAAACAACCTCAGATGTTTGTTCGGCATGGAGGCGCAGACAGCTTATTTTGAGAGAGGCCTATAAAAAATGAATGGATGGAGTCCTGCTAGCTCTCTGCAGCCCTGATGAACTGCTCTTAAAGGCCGAGAACAGACGAGGACAAGCAGCGCGGTCTCCATCTTTGATGAATACACTTGTTTATGAGTCTTCATGCTGTGAACTCATCAGCAAAATTGTCTTTTACTTCGTGAAAATCAGTAAAAATGTGCCACCGTCGATCTAATATATGCCCCAAATGTTATCTGCACACTTTACGAGGTGAATTTTAAAGCAACACACTTATGTTAAAAGACTAATATCATTTTTATATGTCCTCTGGAGTATGAGAAATCTTCCCAAAGTACTACATGGAAATACCTAATTAATACATCCAAGTGTGCCGAAGCCTTAGGTGTTGCTTTTGTTCTCCTGAGTAATTTATTCATTGTGCACGTCGTGTCACACTGTACTTGGTGTTTCAGTGCATTCAGTTCTAGTCATTTGTTTGGCAAAAGACCCGTCAGTCAAGACTGGAAGGATTTGTTCTGCATTCATACCGGATCTGCTGTTAAAAGTCTTAAGCTATTCATCAGCTCACAGGCACTTAATTTAAAACCTGAATAGCGCAATGTTTAACAGGGACTGAAACCAAAAGCAGTTCACTTTTAATGACATAAACCCCGACGGAGATTGGATTGGATGTAAAAATCTGCACAAAGTATGCACAACATTCTGCAGATATCCGTAAGTGATATTTATTCGTGATAACGAAAGGATAAGCGGTGCAAGGTCACAGGTTGCCTTGTGTTCCTAGCAGAGATGCGTACAGATGCGTGATTCAAAAGCCCATCTTTATTGTTTGTAAATCCGCTCAGAAGATGAGTCATGGCATGTTTTGGATTTCTGGAGAAGCAAAGTTTCTTGGAGTAACGCTTAAGTGCCTTCTCGCTACTCATTAGACATCTGCTAATGTGATTCCATGCACCCGCGGGAGAACCCTGCGGTCTATTGACTTTGGTTTATGACTGTTCTTTGGAGTTGATCCAGTCAGGTATTATGTTATGCTGTCATGCTAAGAACCGTGAAAACGACATATAGAACCTTATGTTACTCAAAGGTTTTCCTGTTTTGTCATGTTGCAATCACCAACCTATTTGTTGTCCTATTGGGATTTTCCATGGCAGAATGTAAATATGAGCAGGAGGGGAAATAATACATGGTTTTCAATTCTTTTACAAATAAAACTGAAAATTGTTGTATATTTTAATGGATTATAAAACTACCTTTTGAAGCAGTCACAATCACAGGTATTTTGGTTTACGCTTCCTCCAGCTACGCTCATTTTTACTTTTCCAAAATAGTTCCAAGTTTCATCAAATTTATAGCATTTCTCATTTGGCTAAAAAAATGTTATTCTTAAAAGAACGTCTACTTCCACTGTGCCCACATATTTCTCTGTATCATTTTCCTGCCACTTTATAAATATACACTGCTTTGTATCAATTTACCACTTGGACACATAAGTCCAAGGTTCATCAAGAGCTATAAATGTTTTTGTATGGTGGACAGCAGGTTTTTTTAAGTCCCAAGCTGTATTAGAAGACACCAGCCTGCAAAATGTGTGCATACTGTCTGTTCTAAATAAAGATAATGTTTCTCATTTCGCCCCTCGTCTTTTCATGGTGGGACACGAATGAGATGACACAGCACCTCTACTGAAATATTAACATATTTATTCCCTCCCCCAGAGGTCTGACACTGCTGTTTTGCTGTCTCCTTAGCTGAGCTAATAGGCAATCATCTTGGATTAAAGACAAATGATCTACCTACCACCTCAGCTGTGCCGCAGAACAAGTGTGATAAATTACTCTCGACATACACAACACAGGGACTTCACTGGTCTTTTTTTGAGGTTTGATGGATTTGCAGGAGGTAAAAATAAGGCTCTTGTGGAATTATGTTCATTTGACAATTACATAGGACAATTGGTGCTGCTGCTCTTTGTTGGTAGGATTGTGAGCTTAACTGTAGTCGTACAGAAAGGGCTTTACAACTCCGGACAACTCCAAACTCGCACAGCTGAAAAGAGGATTACAGTGAAAGTTCAGGTTTTTTTTTTGTTTGTTTTTTTTGGAGTGGGTTTCTGTGAAGTAGTTATTAGTATGTGTTGCTTTTACCCACAGCAGCAAAAGTGGAAGAAATCAGAATAAAGATGATCATACTAGAGTACAGCCAGTCAGATTGTGAGTCCTGATAGTCAGGTGACCAATTTAAGAAACAACTCCACAAGTCCACACATGTGCATGTGGCTGTTGTCATTTTGCAAAGTGATTTTGAACAGCCACTGTGTAATGTTTACAAAATCCAAAATGTGGAAGTCTTCCACTCAAAGGTTGTGTTTTCTTTTCTTATTAAGTACCAATACAGGACCCTTTCTGAATTTTGCATTTGAACTTGAACCTGAAAAACCCTATTCAACCCTCAGCAATCCCTCTGTATGTGCAATTTGGACGTGTGCGTCACTTCTGCCTTTCTTGGAGTGAAGCACATGCCGATCCCTTTTTTGCAAGGCTCCTGATCAAAATATTGTACTTATTGGAATGTGGTTTGGTTGAATTAGCTGCTCGATCAAGTCTTCCAGATGTCAGTCAGAGCCGTGGCAGGTTCGCACTCAAGAGTGATCCGAACAAATACTCTGAGAGCTGCGATCACATTGTTCTGATTGGTTTTTGTGTTGGCGTGAGGAAAATATAGCTGTTTAAAAAATCAAAATCTCTGATGTCCAAATCAAATGCAAAGCCACATAGTAAATTAGCCACCACTGGCGCTACCAGCCTCATCCACTCTGAACCAGTGCCTCAAGACGGACCAGTTGTCTGCACGATCGAAACAGCTGGGAAAGACTCATAAGCAAACAAGTTGTGTTCTTAGAGCACCCTACAGAAGTCATATTCTGGTTGGTGTCTTATGTTAGTTCAGACTCATTAGTTGAGTCTGTCAGCTGTTATTACTGTAAGAAATTCTTCTATTTCTTTAAGCTCAGTTTGTTACGACTTCTGTCCCCTGCAGGTAAAGTACAAAATACCAATAATTTCTCTACAAACCCCCACTTCAAACAGTTTATTGGAAGTAATTTCAAAAGAAAAGGTCAAGATTGATGACACATGCCAGGCTCCCCTCAGTCTGACCATACAGATTCATATTATGTCTGTTCCTCACAGTTAGAATTTTTTATTTTTTTTGCTTCTGTTGCACAAGTTACCTTACCTTCACTTAAAGGGTCCAGTGTGTGAATCATCAGTTGGAAAATGCTGTTTCTCATCAAACTGTTGTGCAGAGAAGCAGAGCTGCCTCCCCTTTGCAGGCGAGGCCTGGCCTACGAGAGAAGAGACGCATCGTCAGTCAAATGTGCTGCTCCCAGTAATGAGCTCTTTCACTTTGAACTTTCATCTCCAAGTGAAAATCCCCCATTTGCTACATTGTGTGGATTTTCTAAAAACTTGAGTTACAACGCTTAGGTTCCGCATTAGTGACTCTCGAACTGAATCATGTTGCTCCATGTAACAACCAAAAACCATTTTGGCAATTTGCTGGGGTTTTGTATAAAAGACCAACACAAAGTAATGAATAATTGTGAAGTGGACAGAAAAGGATGCATATCTGGAATCTATGTGGAAAAATCGTGTTGCTGCAGATATTAGGGCAGTGCTTGTATAAACTTTGTACATTTAAATACTGCCCATTGTTCTTTGTAAAATAGCTCAAGTTGGATTGTCTTCAAGTTGGTTAAAGACAATCTTTTATCGGACCGTTTTAACGCATTAATATGATTTGATTTAAGCTGAAATCCTTATTCATTGCTGCCCTATCTCTTTGTTACACAATTTTGGTCCTTATCATATGCCTTTCTATAATTTTTCTTCCAGAATTTATCTGTATTTAGCATTCCCATAGGATGATGCTGCCCCTTTTTTTTGAATGGTCTCATCTGATCAGAGATCCTTCTTCTACGTTTCTTACGTAGCTGTGACTAACTGCAAGAACACCTTACATTTGACAATTTACCAATCTTGCAGTTTTTCCATGGTTCTGGGAGATATTCAGAGCTTTAGATATTTATTTTTAATCTAACTTTATACTTTATGACAACTTTATCCCCGACCTGTCTGGTGAGCTCCTTGGCGTTTATGGGAGGACGTGGATTTGTGTGTGTTTTGTCTGTTAATTTGTTCCATGTGTTGCGTGTCCTCCCCCTGATTGATCCCAGCTGTTTCTCTTTCCCCCTGATTGTCCCTCGTATATTTAACCTCGCCTGTGTCCCCTGATCCCCACCGGATCCTTTTCGTGGTTTGTCCTCCCTGCCATTGTCCAGACTGTGTCGTGTCACCTGTGCTTCCTGGTTCATTTTGACTTCCAAACATCATTAAGCTAATTTTTTTTTGCACCAAACCTGGGTCTGATCGCGTCTTTTTCTCACCACAAAACCTCCAGTTCATGACAGTTTATGATGCTGTTTGTTTACCAATGTCGTCTAACAAACCTCTTAGATCTTCACATGACAGCTGGATTTGGAAAATCATGCATCATTTTTCATCCACTTCACAATTAGATGCTACTACTCTATTTTGTGCTGGTTTATTACAAAAGCACCAAATAAAATACATTGACGTGTACGGTTGAGACAGCCGAAAATATGAGAAGGCTCAATGTTTATAAATGCTTTAGGCTAGGACCTTTAAGTATTTGTTTGAAACCTTATTTGCTTTAATGTAATAGCAAAGGATAATTGAATAAATGTATTCTATTGAAGTGCTGCACAGTTCTAGTTACAAAATGGATTCAAGCCGCTGCATCATTTACTCATAAATGTGCTTCGACCTTGGAAAAATGACTCCCTATAATCCTCTTTTCCATAAAAACCCCTGTGTGTAACCTGAAACTAAGTAAAAAAAAAAATCATGAAGCACTACAGCTTCTTATAAACATAAGCCCCTGCTGGTTGAGACAGGAGTGCTGAGTTGGAGTGACAGTTCAGTTTCTTCCTCTGAACGAATCCTTGCCAAGGTCACCTCCAGCAGCTGAAGCTGAGCTAGGGAAGAAGGAAACAAATCAGGCTCCATCACAGGTGACAGCTGTTGGGAATGTGTCTGCCTTTGGGTGATCGCAGGTGACGCGTAGGCACCGGAGGTGTGAGGTGTTAATTCACAAGTCTGTATGGGTGTGAGCGGGAGGCGAGGGAGACAATGCGCGATTGCTAGGGCTTGCCGGATGCGCGTCCTCTCTGCCGCTTGGTTTTATTTTCCCTCCTCCTGCTCTCTGGATGGAAGCTCTCACACCAGCATTAAAACAGTCTGCAGACTGCGAGACACATGCTCCCTGCTTAATTGCCTTTTGCATGCCGCGTGCAAAGGCAAACGGAGGGAAAAAGCAAAGGGCTTCAGAAAACAGACGGCGCTACTCTGCGCACACAGGGAGGCTGAGGAGGCTTGGAAGTAGCGGCGTGCCATGTTTCGCTCACAGTGTGGCGGGAGAAGAAGTTGCACAAAATTTACACTAGAGACATCGACACAGAGAAAGGGGGACAAAGACGGAAGCGAGAAGGCAAAAAGCGTCCGTCAGACGAGACCTACCGACAACTTGCCATCGTCGTCTGGCGCCCCGGGGCTCAACTTCTCATCCAACACAAAGAGAAGAGGAAGTAAAAGAGGCGGGGGGTTGGGGGGGAGAAAGGAGAGAAAGAGAAAAGAGGACAAACATGTGAAGCATGCCACACACATAACCACACGGACCAGATGAAAAGACAGCAAAAGAGATAGACAGTACTGCACTGCAACAGTGAAGACTGACTGTGATGTTAGTGGACGAGACTTTGAGGGACAGATTCCTCTCCTGCCGCTGTGGCTGCCCGTTGCGTTGGGCAGGACCGGACTGCATCTGCTCGAATTTCCTTCAGAAATGTCACTTTAGGTTTTCATTCATGTCACGGATGTCAGCTGTATTTCAATCATTTCTTAGTCTAGATTTTGAAACCTATTTATTCACATTTTCATTCTAGTGAGAGAGTTTCTTGTAGTCGTTTCTGAACTCCTTTCACTTTCCTAATTTTTCTGACCATTGTCAAGGAAACATTTTATTGAGTTTACTCTGATTTGTAGTTACTTAAAATGTTTACACTTAGTTTTCCAGCTTTGTAGGGGTGGGGGCAATGAGAGGTAATCATGGTGGTTCTTTTACTCATAGCCGTCAATTATGCCTCTGACATATTCAACGGGAACAGGATCCATGACACCCAAGCTGGATGAAAACTTGTCATGCAGTGGTGACTGGACTTTTGCTGCTTGGTGAAGGCCATGCAGTGACAAAGAAATCATTTCCATTTATTTAGTCAAATTAATCATAAGACAAGGTAAAAACCAACAAGATGATCCCCAAATAACTAGAACCTGATAACTTTACATTTGTTCTTCTGCAAAATATCTAAAAAAATAAATAAAAAAAACACTTGAAAATCTATTCTATCTATCCAAGCTGCTTGGATGAAAAGTAAAGAAGAGGCTTACAGTCTTTGCTCTGTAACTGAACATACAGGTGGAAAAAAAGAAAAAGAATATTATTCGTGGTCTAGTAAGGCAAGATTTTGTTATCATTGAAAGTGCCCCAAATCGCTGTAGCCTCCATGATTTTCCTTTTTAAGTTTGGCCCCGTCGAACTGAGTAATCGGACAATGAAAGGCCCTGGTCAGGAGATGCAACTGAAAAGCCAGTGGACACCTTGAAAAAAAAACTCAGTTACTTTTCAAAAAAAAAAAAAAAAACATGATGGAAAGCCCATTCTTGGTACAAGCACTCCACCAACTGTACTGTTAAAGCGCAGAGGTCAAAAAGTAACTATTTGTCTCTAAAAGGCACATCAAAGAGCCTTGGAGGAAATTGTCCTCAAGAACCTGAGTGTCTATAAGGCTACAAAAAGCTAAATCTTATCAGGTAATTCGATGAAAGGACATATTTGTTGGAGAATCCAGGATTTCAGCTTTCACTGGTTTTAGTTAAACTTTGCTTCCGTGTGACTAAAGATACATACGTATCTAGTGCTGTATGTTTACAAAAGATCACCTACATTAAAAATCCAGCTTTGTGATTTCCAAACATTTTTAGAAAGTACACAGAAAATAATTTGCCCGGTTCTGCTTTGTGTGTATTTGGGCTGGTGATGACATCAAACAAGGTGCAGCGATCAATATTTTGGAAATATACAAGAGACATTTTTTGACATATTTCAAAGCTTTTTAGTTGCGTGAGCCTCAATTTGACTCTGATTATCCCTAAGAATTGATGAATCCTGCAAAGAATGTGCAGTGGCCTGGGATTTTTTATCTTACTACTTTCCTCAAAAATGATAATAATATAAAATGTACCGTAGGGCTACTTTTATACGGCACTTTAATGTGAGGCCAATCATCTTCCATGTGTGTTGGTTAGAACCTAAAAGCCAACAGTTTTCTATTCCTGTCAAGACACAAAAAGCACCCATTCTGCTCGACTTCCTCTCAAGTTGTATTAAATCAACATGCTGTACTTTCTTTGCTCACTTAGTTTGGCAACCGAAGCAACAACTTGACAAGTTGCGCTTTCATCTTTGTGCAAGAAAGCGAAATTAGAGCCTCATGCCAGCTTTTAATGTGATAACTTTGTCGCAGAGAATGTGCCACAACATGCCAAAGAGACTCTTGTCTTTTAACAATCCCTCCATTTTTTCACCGCCGTCATTCTCAGCACGGCTCCAATTTTTTTTGGCACGTTCGATTGCTGCAACACTTTTTATTTTTGAAACAAAAGACGTTCTCCAGCCGACTGACTGACTGAAGTGCGTTCACTTCTTCGTCTCCAAAAAAAACCCCGGGTGGGAAACAACGGTTGCCCGAGGCCCCTCCGACTCTAAACGCGAGGGGAGCAGAACCCATAAAAAGGCTTTTGTCTGGATCCTGGAATATCAAGGCATTGTTTGCCTGCCTACGTGGTTTCAAAGAAGAACTTGCAGACCGTGGAGGCGCTGGTGTTCGCTGATAAGCCTCCCCGATGTCCAATGAAATTTAGAAAGTAATCCGGTTTGATCACAGTGTTTGAAAAAAAAAAAAAAAAAAAAAAAAAAACGCGCAAATTCCGAGACAGGGCCTTATTGCTCGTTAACTCCATGATTCATTTGCATGCTAAATGACACAGCTTTGCACCGAATACCAAATCCGCTGACGGCAGCAGAGGGCTTCAGTTCATGAAGTGAAAACATCAGGGGGTGTTTAGTGCTTACTCCCAACAGATTACTGGGTTAAAGAGAGCAATTTAAATTGTTTATGGCCGCCTTAGTGGATTATCTCGCAATTGCAAAGTTTAAAGATTAAATTTGCTCAAACTTTTCTTTGTGACGTGGATTTTGTGAAAAATCACTGAGAATGGCAGCTCCCACTGCATATCAGTGTTTCTGTTTAGCAGCTCATAATTTACCACGTGTCAGCTTTGCCTCTGTGGGTTAATTACAGAAGAGAGAAGGATGCAAAAAAAAGGGGAAAAAAATCTAAAATCTTTTAAAAATTCAGCAGAAGTTGAGCTAATGCTGAGATTTTCCACTGAGTTATTATAACCCCCTCTCCCTATTCCCGTCTCACGTTTCCGGGTTAATTCCCTGCACACTGCGGCACAATTATCTTATTTCCCTCCATAGCATCCAGCTCCAAAGCAAGTCAGGAGGTTTAGGGTAGAGCAGGTGAATATGCCGGATGGAAATTATGCCATGAGCTCCCCCCCCCATTAAGCCGGCGTTAAATAGTATGACTAATAATCGCGCAGGAAGATTAGCATGTTCTCTGGAGTTTTTCTGTTCCCTAATACCAGCGGCAGCGAAGCCAAGCTCTTGCGTAATGTCACGTCAGGATCTTTCTTGGAAGCGGATCAGCTAGAGGGGTGATAAATGTCCCTCCGGCACCGTGTGCGTCTTAACACCATGTTATGGAGATTTATTGATTACAGCTTGACTGGATGCAAAAAAAATAAATAAAAATAAAATAAAAATCTACAAATAAAACAGTTCATTTTTCAGCACTCATCCACAGCTTAACGTCAGGAAGTCTTAGAGGGATGCGTGATGAAAAGCTGAAAGCCGAGCCGGAAGTCCTGAATTTTGAATATCAATGGTGGATTATAGGTCTTTACATATGAAATCTGGGAGCATAAAACTATTTCTATTTACGGAGGGATCTCATTTGCATTTCCTTCATGCTAAATCTCGGAAGCAAAATGACACAGAATTACAGTTTTGAAATGTTTTATGCCTTGTTAATGACTGACTTTATTTAAATTCGTGAATCTGTCGATGCTATTTATTCTTTGAACAAAATGATTCACGTCGATTCTGTTTTTGACAGTGACGTGAACATATTTCAGTGGGATGAAAGATGAATCTCGGCTGACAGGTGAAGCCGGTACCACAATGTTCCAATGGAAAGACATGTCATGAAAAATATTTCTAAAACCTGTAGTTCTCCAAATGAATTGAGCTCTCAAGAAAAATTGCGTAGCTTTCGACAGTTTATCTGTTTGACTCAAACTCATCAGACTTTCATCATTCGTGAGATTCTATGGTTCGTGGTTAGTTGACCTTGTCTTTTAGAGCAGATCATTTCACTGAAATAAGACTTAAAAAAAATGTTGGTTTCACTTTAATCGTTGCCCAGCGAAATCTAAAGCAAGAGTTTTTATTTTACTCCGACAAAACGCTCAGTGACCCATGGCTCAAATGATCTGAAATTTAACAGCACCCCAGCTAAAAAGCCTAAAACTATAAAACCCCCGACGCTGTGCAGCTCTAGGCATTTCCCGCACCTGCTTACAGCAGCCACCCCGTCCATCAGAGCGAGACAGAACCTCCTTTGAGATTCCTCCACCCAGATTCGTTGCATTGGAGCTAAACTGTCGAGTGGCACGACGGAGAAGCGCCGCCCTCCCCCCGTTTTGCCTGAGAGACGATAATGATGATCTTTTAAGGAAAGAAGCGAAAAGATGCACAACAAGTCAAGAAGCCATCCACTTGCTAATTAGTAACCCCTTCATTTTTCCTAACAAGCAGAACTAATTACAGGAGCTGCCATCAGGCTGATTTCCCACAAGGCGATCCTTTCCAGGACACATGCTTCCCTGTACTCAGCCAATCAGCCTCACAATTTGAAGGGATTAAGAGTGTAAAAAAAAAAAAATGCTGTGTCACTTTTGCAGGTCAATGAAGTCATGCAGTATTGGATTTATCAGAAAACTGTCACCATTTTATCTATTAGCTACAGCCGTTTTTTTGTGCAGCAATCAAATGCACCTTTTGGTACAAGACTAACTCTAATATTTTGAGATTAGAGTTATAAACGTTCAGGATTTAGTGGGGACACACTGAAAATCATGGAAATATCTGGCACAGCTACGGTTACTCCTCACACATTAACTAAGGAAGCCTTCAGTAATTTTCATCCTGATATATTTATACCAAAGTGTGTAAAAATCTGACTTCTTTATTAATGCATTAAATTACCTTGGAAATGCATTGGTGACCATGCTGAATGGGGCAGCATCCTTATTTTAATACTGTTAAGCCTGATTAAAGTTATAGCAGGTTTATTATTACAACTCATCTCTAATCTTCA